AGTCCACAAGTCATAAAAGAGCCAAGGTTGCCTACCCCTGGCCTATAGTCATGTTGGCCATATGATCACAGAAGCATCTTCAGTCAACGCTGGCTTCCTCGGCTAAGAAATGAAGGTGACCATCACCCCTTAGAGATGGGAACAATTGGACAGGGGAAACCTTTACCTTTATCTTTACATTAAAAGAATCTTAGAAGTCTAAAAGTACAAATCTCCTACCACTTTCTTTACAGACTAGAGACTCTAGGAAGCTACTTTTTTCACCCATTATGTAGCTGTGGGCTAAGCCCTCTTTTATCTGCTCGTTCCTTTCTTTGTCCTGTTTGTCAAAGTCTTTCTCTCATATCATTACATAAACCTACATCATTGCTTGACTGCAGTCAACCCCGCAAGGTAGACCAGGAAATCTGCTCCAGCGGAAGGCTAAAACCACTTTTATTATGATTGACTAGAATAACAAAGTCAGACGGTGCTGGACCTCACCCCCTTCTTATGCTCCAGTAAAATAGAGAAGTGTCTGCTTGAGCCACTTCTGAATGTTATCTCTTTGTTCTGGGCTTTAAAAAATTCTTCAGCCCCTTTGGTCTAGACCAGGGGTGTCCAACCTTGGCAACTTTTAAGACCTGTGGATGGGTGATATAATGACTTGCAAAGATCACAACCTAATTTATAGGTTGTGAATTACTTTTTCTGAATCTGCTGTAATTTTGAGCTTTTGTTAAATGAACGATTGTAAGCCAGGAATTCCCTGTAGTCTTCATGGTTAGAAATTCCTGAAAAATCACTCTACAAAAGGCTTCTGGCCTTCACAGTTACAGCTTATGGCCCTTGCGGTTAGAAACAGGCGTGTCCCACATCTCCAATAAGGTAGTGCTAATGGCTGAAGCAGGGTGCTGGTCAGCGAGGAGGCCCTCTTGAGGACATCTCACTCCATGAAATGGATGTCCTTGCAGGGAACCTGGAGGAATACCTGATTTCTCGAGCATCCGAAGAAGCCGGAGCCTTTAATGAGTACCACATAGCAGCAGTTTCTTTCCAAGAGACCTCAAAACAGATGGAAGTAACCGCTCTTTTCAACAACCAAGCCTTTCATTCTCCCGCTGCCGCGTTGCTACTGGTGGACAACGCCTTGTTGAGGCTAATAGCTGGACCAAACGCCTCCATCACAGTGGCCAACTATCCACAACCTCGCAACATGACCGAGACAGCAAAAGACCAGCTCATGGAGTGAGTCCAAACTTTCTTTGTTTTTAATCTGTTTGCTTGCTTCAGATGATGATGATGATGATGATGATGATGATGATGATGATGATGATGATGATGATGATGATGATGATGATAATGATGGAAGGGATCTTGGAGGTTATCTAGTCCAACCCCCTGCTCAGGCAGGAAACCCTATACCATTTCAGACAAGTGGCTGTCCAGTCTCTTCTTAAAAACTTCCAGTGTTGGAGCAGTCACCGCTTCTGGAGGCAGGTTGTTCCACTGGTTAATTGGTCAAAGTGTCAGGAAATTTTTTCTTAGTTCTAGGTTGCTTCTCTCCTTGGCTAGTTTCCATCCGTTGCTTCTTGTCCTGCCTTCAGGCACTTTGGAAAATAGCTTGACTCCCTCTTTTTTGGGGCAACCCCTGAGATATTGGAACACTGCTATCATATCCCCCTTCGTCCTTCTCTTCATTAAACTAGACGTACACAATTCCAGCAACCGTTCCTTATATGTTTTAGCCTCCAGTCCCCTGATCATCTTTGTTGCTCTTCTCTGCACTCTTTCTAGACTCTCAACATCTTTTTTACATCCCATCTTAGATTATACCCCATCTTTCACTCAAGAACTCAAGATGGCGTAGGTACGCCCATTCCTTCATTTAGCAACCAAGTCCCACCCATTTCAAGTGTCGGTATCAACCAAGCTATCCCCGATTCCCACCCAGATCAATTGTAGTTCCACCAGAACTGGGGTAAAATGCTTTCTGGATCCAACTTTTAATCATAGTTTTTCCAGCTGATTGTGCTCTGTCTTTGTCATATCCCGCAGAAGCCAGACGGGTTTTGCCATTGCCATCAACCTGCTCTATGGAATGGCCTCTTTGTCCAGCACTTTTGCACTCCTTCTGGTGAGCGAGAGGGCCATCAAAGCCAAGCACGTGCAGTTTGTCAGCGGTGTTTACATGGTGAACTTCTGGCTCTCCGCGCTTCTGTGGGACCTCGTCAACTTCCTTACACCCTGCACCCTCATCCTGGTGAGTCCTTCCTGGATAGCTCATGTCATGCAGGGATTCTTATTTGATTCCAAAAAAAAAGCTTCACCGAATTGCGTTGAGGAGAAGATCCAGCTAACAGGGTCCATCAGCGGACCCATCAATCTTCTATTGAGGGAGGGAGACATTTTTGAATGGGAATGCTGATGTGAAAGAACAACGTGGAAATGCAGGATTCTGATGTGCATACACCTGTTAGATGGCATTAATACCTGGTTGAGTTATTTGAGCAGTAGTTGGACAATAGTGGAGATCAGAATGAAAGATTTATAGATTGAAGTTGGCGAGTCTCTGGGCAAAGAGATCATAGAAGGTATTACTCATTGCTGGCATCTGTTGGTTACCTGCTCTTCTGGATCTCAGATATGACACTCTAGTAGAGTTGGCCCTTAGTATCTTCCTAGATTCCAAGGTGTCTTTTCTAACCTGTTCGCTTTCAGGTATTAAGGACATCCAGAATTCACAGATAGATTTGTAGTAATGGAAAATTCTGGCCATTGTAATTACTTTATTGGCTAGTCCAAACGAAATGGAAGTCCAGAATGTGTTTATGAATCCCATTGAGCAGTTGGGTAGATGGTTACTTTTCCTGTCCAGGTTCCTTATTTAGGGAGGGGCGAAGGAAAGAAGTAAACATTTGAACCCTGTTCCCTTTAGCGACCAGAGGACAAGTGATAGGTTAAGCCTCTAGATAGCAGCTGTTAGTCAAAGTTCTGGATTCTTCTGGGTCTTAAATTGTAATAACAATTTCTGTTGGTATTCTGTTCATATTTATGTAGTGTATATCGGAGGTGGTGACCCTTTGAGAGCTGTGTGCAATGAAATTTCATTTTAATGTATGCCGATTAGTGTACATTCAAAGTGACTATAAAGTTATTATTCTTTCTGTTTTGTTCTATTCTATTCTGTTCTATTCTATTCTATTTTTATTTTATTATTCTATTCTATTCTATTCTATTCTATTCTACAATCTGTTCTGTTCTCTTTTCTTCTCTTCTCTTCTATTTTGCAATCTGTTCTATTCTATTCTATTCTATTCCATACTCTATTCATTCCATATTCTATTCTATCCTATCCTATCCTATCCTATTCTATTCTATTCCATACTCTATTCATTCCATATTCTATTCTATTCTATTCTATTCTATCCTATCCTATCCTATCCTATCCTATCCTATCCTATCCTATCCTATCCTATCCTATCTTATCCTATTCTATTCTATTATTCTATTCTATTCTATTCTATTCTATTCTATTCTCTATTCTCTGTTCCTTTCTATTCTATTCTATTCTATTCTATTCTATTCTATTCTATTCTATTCTATTCTATTCTATTCTTCAGGTGATCTTCCAAGCCTTTGATGTCAAAGCATTCACCGAGGACAACCATCTTGTGGATATAATGCAGATATTTCTTCTGTATGGCTGGGCCATTATCCCCCTCATGTACTTGCTCAGCTTCTTCTTTTCGGTAGCAGCCACAGCCTACACCCGCCTCACCATCTTCAACATCTTCTCCGGCACAGCCACGTTCTTGGCGGTCGTCATCATGAGCATTCCTGGTAAGGAGTTTGGACATTGTCACCTTGGCTGGATAGGTTTTAATGCAGGGCTCCCCAACCTTGGCCACTTTATGACTTGTGGACTTCAACTCCCAGAATTCCTCAGCCAGCATGGCTGGCTGAGGAATTCTGGGAGTTGAAGTCCACAAGTCATAAAGTGGCCAAGGTTGGGGAGCCCTGTTTTAATGGCTTTAAGCCACCAAGGTTAACTGTTCTTCCCACATTTCTTCTCTTTCAGAGCTTGGCATGGTGGATCTGTCCAACACACTAGATAAAGTCTTCCTAATCCTGCCCAACTACTGCTTGGGACAAAGCATCAGCAAGTTCTACCAGAATTATGAGTTCATTCAGTTCTGCACTTCTTCTTTTGAATCCCTAGTCATCTGTAAAGTGTTTAGTGAGTACACAGTATCATCTTAGATTTGGCTTCCTAGGCAGTTTTGAATTTAACAAGAGACTGCTATTGGGCATGGCAGCTGCGCATCTGAGCGGATCTTCAAATTCAAACTGATGAGGGAACCAAGTTTTATCCCAAGCACACTCATGTTCTTCTAGATCAGGGGTCTTCCAACTTGGCCCTTTTATGACTTGTGGACTTCAACTCCCAGAATTCCTCAGCCAGGCACGCTGGCTGAGGAATTCTGGGAGTTGAAGTCCACAAGTCATAAAAGGGCCGAGTTTGAAGACCCCTGTTCTAGATTCTCAGATCTAGAGGCACCAAGCAGAGGTAGATGCAATGTATAGGCACGCTCTGAATGCATTGATGTGTTATGAAGCAGCTGAAGAGAGATCAATCTTTAGCTTCTTTACAAAGTTCCCAGCATCTCAACAGACCATTATATCAGACCTTCTGGTGTACTATATTTCTTAAGAATTAATTAATTAAGTGATATTGATAGGTTCAGCTTCTGGTGAAGATATGGATAAATGTTCGCCATCCTAACTTTATTTAGTAATCAGTCCAATATTAATCTCATCCTTCCTTTCTTCTATTCCCTCAACTTTCTCAAGTACCATTGTTTTTGCTAGTTCCTCGTCCATTCCCATCACCTGCCCAAAGGACGTAAATGTCTACTTGCTGATTGTTGACTCAAGGAATCAGTCAACCTTTGTCCTTACTGACTCGCCCATTCTTTGCCAGCTCATGGTTCTATCAGTAACCAACTTGAGATCCATAATTCAGATACATCTATCTTAATTCCCTCATTCTTTCTCAACTGTCCAGCTTTCACAGCCCTGCATTATCCCACAAGAGACCATTGCTTCAACTCTTCTGATCTTTATTGCAATTAGAAAGGACTAACTTTCATAAAATAGGCAAAGTCCATATATTTCTTCTCCGAAACCCAGGGACACCATCCATCTCAACCCCATAACTCTTTCTGCATAATTGCGCCATACCCTTGACTCTCCGTTAGAGGTTTGGTGGAGACTTCAACCACCAGATGGTTGCTATCTCCTGAAATAATCCTTTTTTTTTTTTCTCCTTTCTTGGCTCTTCCTTATTCCAGATATCTCCTACCAGACCAACTACTTTGCTTGGGAAAACCCAGGCATTGGAAAATACTTGACAGCTATGGCAGCCCAAGGCCTCTCCTTCCTTCTCCTGCTCTTTCTCATTGAGACTAACCTTCTCTGGAGAATGAGGACCATTGTCTGCGACATACGACGGAGGCGGAAATGGGTGAGGCTTTTGCACAAAGGAATCCCTTTCTCGGCCGAGTCCTTTGGAGTTTCTCAATATTGCATCTAAGTAGACTTCCCACTCAAATTCTGCATGATGTAATGGGTGGAGGGGGAAGGTGGCTTCAGCTGATGCAACAATATGCCTAGAAGTGTGTAAGTGACACCCTGTGAATTTTCAGAACTTGGGAAAGTTGCTGGCCAGTTCTTCGGAGCTGCAACTACCTAAGCCAGTGTTTCTCAACCTTGACAATTTTAAGGCATGTGGACTTCAACTCCCAGAATTCCATAGCCAGCAATGCTGGCTGTGGAATTCTGGGAGTTGAAGTCCACATGCCTTAAAATTGTCAAGGTTGAGAAACACTGCTAAGCTACCTAAGAAAAAAAGGACTTGGAGTGACACGATAGCAGTGTTCCAATATTTGTGGGGCTGCCCCAAAGAAGAGGGGGTCAACCTATTCCCCAAAGCACCCGAGGTCAGGATAAGAAGCACTGGATGGAAACTAATCAAGGAGAGAACCAATCTAGAAATAAGGAGAAATTTCCTGACAATGAGAACAATTCATCTGTGAAACGGCTTGCCTTCAGACGTTGTGGGTGATCCATCACTGGAGGTTTTGAAGAAGAGATTGGACAACCATTTGTCTGAAATGGTATAGCATTTCCTGCTTGAGCAGGGGGTTGGACTAGAAGACCTCCAAGGTCCCTTCCCAGCTCTGTTATTCTGTTAAACCTTCAGCGTAGACCTCAAAACAGCCCACCAAGAGCTGGTACCTCAGTATAATTAAAGCTTGTAGTGTAATCATATTAAGTATGCCTAACTTATTTGATTTAATTTACCCTTTTGGACCTAGGTAAATATTTTACAAATCTTCTTTCTACTAAGACCAAAACCCAAAGGAGTTAACCTTGCTCCCAATCTTCAAAATTGGAAAAACCTAAATTAACATTAATCACAAATCAAAGCCGAAAGATTCATCAGTTTGAATGTACTGAAGGTCTAGACCAGGGGTCTTCAAACTTGGCCCTTTTATGACTCCCCCCCTCCTCCAGAAATGTTTGGATTTGTACACAAAACTTTTAAAAGCTTGGCGGTGGTTTTCTGCTTATGCATGGAGAACTCTTCTTTTAATTGCTCCAAAATCTTGCTTTCTCCTCGAGCGATTTCTGCATGAAAATATAGCCATTCCCCCCCACCCCCACGTTTGCTGAACTTCAGGACCCAGAATCCTTAAGTCAGCCAAGCCAATCGCTCGGAATGCTGGGAGTTGTAATCTCAGCTCATCCAGAAGCTATTGCATTGTGCAACAGCGGGTTAGCTGCAAGGATGTTTTTGCAAGTGTCCTAAATCATCTGCAATTACACTTGACAATTATTGCAAGCTCTGCTAAATTGAAGAGAGAGGGAAAGAAACAAAACAGCTTTGCCAATCTGGGTGGGAAAGTTACTCTATAGCAGGGGTCTTCAAACTCGGCCCTTTTATGACTCGTGGACTTCAACTCCCAGAATTCCTCAGCCAGGCACGCTGGCTGAGGAATTCTGGGAGTTGGAAGTCCACAAGTCATAAAAGGGCTGAGTTTGAAGACCCCCTGGTCTAGAAAATAGGCATCAAGGGATGGTTCTTAATTGAATCATGCCATCATTAAACCAGTCTGGCTTCCCCCATTGACTTTGCTTGTTAGAAGCAGGCTGGAAAGATTGCAGATCACAATCACATGACCACCAGACAATGCCACTATCACAAAGATGAGCCAATTGCCAAGTGCCCAAGTTGCAATCACACGATCGTGGGGATGGTGTGAAGGTCATCACTTTGAAGTCAGGTTATAAGTAACTTTTTTTTTAGGCTGTTGTAATTTCAAACCGTTGTTAAAGAAAGTCAAGGACTACCTGTGCTCAGATTAATCAAAACGATTGGAGAGATTTTTCTCCCATAATAATAATAATAGTAGTAATAATAATAATAATAATAATAATAATAATAATAATAATAATAATAATAATAATAATAATAATAATAATAATAAAAATAATAATAATAATAATAAAAATAATAATAAAAAAGTCATAGAAAATGATAAAATTAAACTGCTCTGGGACTTCAGAATTCAAACAGACAAGCACCTGCAACATAACACCCCGGACTTAACAATTGTCGATAAGAAAGACAAAAAAGTCTGGATAGTGGACGTGGCAGTGCCTGGAGACAGCAGATTAGATGAGAAAGAACTGGAGAAGATCACAAAATACAGAGACCTACAAATAGAAATAGAAAGACTGTGGCAAAAGCAAGCAAAGGTAGTACCAATAATAATAGGCACATTGGGTGCAATCCCAAAACAACTGGAGCACCACTTAAACACCATCGGCACTGACGAATTTGCCATTAGTCAATTGCAAAAGGCGGCCTTGCTAGGAACTGCTTCCATCCTGCGACGATATCTGTAATACCATCAAACATCCACATCTGCCTATCCCAGGTCCTTGGTAAGGACCCGATAGGTAGACAAAAATGCCAGATCCAGTCTGAACATCTGGCTGACTGTGCGATGATCCATAATAATAATAATAGTAATAATAATAGTAATAATAGTAATAAAAAGTTGGAAGTGAACTTGGAGATCATCTAGTCCAGTGGTGGCGAACCTATGGCACGGGTGCCAGAGGCGGCACTCAGAGCCCTCTCTGTGGGCACGCACGCCATCACCCCAGTCCTAGGCCTTCAGCTGGGTTTTATAAAACCTTTTCGCTTTAGGCCTCCGCCGCCGTGTGCAAAAAAAAAAAAGGTTCAATCAATCAGTCAATTTCAACCTCTCGCGGGAAAAAAAAAGATCTTGCAAAGTTGGAATTGATTGACTGAACTTTTTAGTCCCACCCAGTCTGCCGTTACCACCGGAGCCACGCCCACCCAATAGGCCACACCCACCCGGCACCCGACGATGGATTAAGTGGGTTTTGGGTTGCATTTTGGGCACTCGGTCTCTAAAAGGTTCGCCATCACTGATCTAGTCCAACCCCCTGCTCAAGCAGGAAACCCTATGGCCATTTCAGACAAATGGCTGTCCAGTCTCTTCTTAAAAACTTCCAGTGTTGGAGCAGTGTTGGAGCATGTAATTATAAATTCAGTGTTGCCCTCCAGCTTGTTTTAGACAGAACGTGTCCCTTCCAATAACTTGCTTCTGATATCTCTCTTTGGCTGGTTTTTCATGCTGTTCAACAGGTCATGCTGCTAAACCAAGTTCCGGTGCTTCCAGAAGACCGGGATGTTGCTGATGAGAGAAAGAAGGTGCTGGAATCACCAACAGCATCCATTTCTTCATTGAATAGTCCTCTTGTGATTAAGGAGCTTACCAAGGTAGAGGTTCAACGTAGCTTCCAAAACGTTATCTCTCACCGAAACCCCATCAAAATAATGTAAACCGCTTTTGAAGTACATACTTTCTATGCAAAAAAATAAAAATAAAAACCCACAATTTGTCCTAAGAAATAGTAGATGGTCCTAACTGGGCCTGAAACCTACAAAGTAATTCTGTGGTAGGATGGGCAAGGCTGGAAAGATAGCATGCAATGAGCCTACACAGAATTTATATGCTTATGTTGTTTCTCCGGAATTAAGTAAACCCTTAAATCTCATTGTAAGCAATAAAGATAACAGAACCCCTCTAAATATTGAACTGGCTTTCTGTGAAAAAGGGTTGGCTCTTATTGATTGATTTGATTTTCCTCCTGCTTTTATTTTGGGTCAGCTCAAGATAGTGTCCATACCTACGTTTTCGTGGCTTAAAGAAGTTTCCAGCCTGGTGCTTTAACCACTGCACCAAATTACTACACTACACTAAACTTTAGCTTGAATCACGGTGGGACTCGGATTCTTTGTTACTGGAATTGGTTGAAAACATTGAGAACCACTAGAGCAGAGCTTCTCAGCCTTGACCACAGGAAGAAATGTGGACTCCAGCTGCCAGAATTCAGGATTCTGGGAGGTAAAGTCCATACATCTTAAAGTTGCCACAGTTGAGAATCGTTACACTAGTACAGTGATGGCGAACCTTTTAGAGACCGAGTGCCCAAACTGCAACCCAAAACCCACTTATGCATCGTCGAGTGCTGGGTGGGTGTGGCCCATTGGCTGGGCGTGGCTGCGGTGGTAACGGCAGACTGGGTGGGACTAAAAAGTTCAATCAATCAAGTCCAACTTTGCGAGATCTTTTTCTTTCCTGCGAGAAGTTGAAATTGACTGATTGAATCTTTTTTTTTTTTTTTTGCACATGGCGGCAGAGGCCTAAAGCGAAAAGGTTTTATAAAACCCAGCTGAAGGCCTAGGACTGGGGCGACGGCGCGCGTGCCCACAGAGAGGGCTCTGAGTGCCGCCTCTGGCACCCGTGCCATAGGTTCGCCACCACGGCACTAGTGAATCAGTTGCAAGTGGGATGTGCAGAAAAGCAGGGTACAAATTGAAAACCAAGCCATCTTCACCATCACCCTCGGTAACATAAAGCACTAATCGTAATAATTATAAGCAGTGAAATAACAACACATAACAAACAAAAAGTAGCACCACTTGAACACCTTCAGCATTGACAAAATTGCTTGACTTGGAACAGCTTAGGTGTTGAGATGATCATCTTTCAGACCATCAAACAACCACATCTGCCTCTCCCAGGTCCTTGGGAGGGGTCTACGACAACTCGTCGTAGCCAACTCACTGCGGCCAACTCATGGGACAATTGGCTATGGCCAACTTACCATAGAGTTATACTAATATTGAAGAAATAACAGAATAGAATCATTCAAGAAAGGATGCCAAGGGAGGGACAAAATGACAAAAATTAAAATAATTTTTAACTATTTTAAATAATTAAATTGAATGGTTGAATTGTCCTGTGTTGAGTTGGCCGTGTTGAGTTGGCCATGATGAATTGGTCATTGCGAGTTGACTCAGAGAGTTGTCCCAGTCCCCCTTGGGAAGGACTTGATAGGTACCCCGAAATACTAAATCCAGTCTGACTGTGCCACCAATCACAATAAATATATAATAATAAATGATTATAAGTCCACAATAATAAAAATAGGTAATAGTGAATAATATTAGCAGCAATCATGCCAGCTTTATATATTGTACATCTGATACCATTTCCCCCCCCCCTTCCACTTTGTTTCTCCAGGTATACGGTAGCAGGGATTCTTGTCTGGCTGTGGACAGAATCTCTCTTGCGGTTAGCAAGGGAGAATGTTTTGGTCTTCTGGGTTTCAACGGGGCAGGAAAAACAACCACCTTCAAGATGCTAACGGGAGACGAGAGCATCACTTCAGGAGATGCCTATGTGGATGGACACAGCATCCTGGCCAATATCAAAAAGGTAATGGGGGAATCGAGACAGTGGCCTAGAGGTGGAGCTCTTGCCTCATAATCAGGAGGCTGTGACTTTGATCCTTGGTAGTGGTAGATCAGACATGTCAAACACAAGGCCTGGGGGCCAGGATGGCCCGGGAAGCCATCCTGGAAACAGTGAGGGAACGGCCCCCGCTGCCTTGGCCCTGGCCCAGGCCGGCCGGGAGCCAATGTACAATTTTGTGGTGGCCATCTATGCTGAAACGTATTCAGTCTTAGCTCCATAAGCCCCCCCACCCCCCGCATGGCCTGAGAGGAACAGTGAGGCTCCTCCAGTGGACCATGCCTTGGCACTTGCCCCGATCCCACCCCCTTCTGCCAGAGACCCTCAGATCTGTCCCACTTCTGCCCAGGCCCCCATAGGCACCCTTGACGCGAACGATGTAAAGCTGGCCATGCCCACCCAGTAGGCCACACCCACTTCATCCACGCCTACCCAGTAGGCTGCACCCACCCTGGCCACACCCACCCAGCCCCCTGAGGGCAACCGCAGTGCTGATGTGGCCCTCAATGAAATTGAGTTTGATACCCCTGTGGTAGATATTTCTCTCTCTGGGTGCAATGAGTAATTGTGTCTGCTGTGAACACCGCATAGACGTCAGGAAGGGCATCCAGCCAGTAAATGCTCAGCTCCATTCAGTCACTCCGACTCCATCCTGGATTACAGGGTCGTTAAAAGAAAAAGGGGGAGTCGAGAACAAAGCAACAGCTGTTGTTGATGAAGCTGTCAGAGTTATCCTAAGGATAAGACCTAATCTGAGAAGGTCAAGACCGTAAAACCCTGAGATTCCTTGCAAACGACCGTTATAGACAGCCTATGGTGGGTAACAAGGTCAAATAGTTCTAGGAAAACCTAGGACTCGAACAGAAGACCCCACAACCGATAAGGACGGTCAAATCATAGTAGAGGGTATTCGTCCATCCGACCTCTACAAGTTCTCAACTTGATTTGATCTGCCTTCAGGTCCAGCAGCGGATTGGCTACTGTCCCCAATTTGATGCACTTTTGGATCACATGACCGGGAGGGAGACCTTGAGCATGTACGCCCGACTGCGGGGCATCCCCGAACGCTACATCGGCAGCTGTGTGGAGAACATGCTTCGTGGGTTGCTCTTAGAACCTTACGCCAACAAACTCATCCGCACATTCAGGTGAGAAGCCTTCTGAACCAGAGGTGGGTTAATAATAATAATAATAATAATAATAATAATAATAATAATAATAATAATAATAGTAGTAGTAGTAGTAGTAGTAGTAATATTATTATTAATAATAATAATAATAATAATAATAATAATAATAATAATAATAATAATAATAATAATAAAGTCGGAAGGGACCTTGGAGGTCATCTAATCCAATCCCCTGCTCAGGCAGGAAACCCGATACCATTTCAGACAAATGGCTGTCCAGTCTCTTCTTAAAAACTTCCAGTGCTGGACCATTCACCGTTTCTGGAGGCAGGTAGTTCCACTGGTTAATTGTTCTGACTGTCAGGAAGTTTCTCCTTAGTTCTAGGTTGCTTCTCTCTTTGGTTAGTTTCCACCCGTTGCTTCTTGTCCTGCCTTCAGGTGCTTTGGAGAATAGCTTGACTCCCTCTTCTTTGGGGCAGCCCAAGATACTGGAACACGGCTATCATGTCCCCCCTCGTCCTTCTCTTCGTTAAACTAGACAGACCCAATTCCAGCAACCGTTCCTTATATGTTTTAGCCTCCAGTCCCCTGACCATCCTTGTTGCTCTTCTCTGCACTCTTTCCAGAGTCTCAGCATCTTTTTTACATCATGGTGACCAAAACTGGATGCAGTATTCCAAGTGTGGCCTTACCAAGGCCTTGTAAAGTGGTATTAATGCTTCACGTGATCTTGATTCTATCCCTCTGTTAATACAGCCTAGCACATTCACCTCCTACGCTCATCCATGATGGGAGGTGGGACAAAGTGGGAACAGGGCCTTTGTTTCATGATTAGAAATGGCTGGTGGCAACTATTATAGGTAACCTTTCTCCCTCTGTCTCTGCAGTGGTGGGAACAAGCGGAAACTGAGTGCAGGAATTTCTCTCATTGGTGGACCTCCTGTGGTGTTCCTGGATGAACCTTCCACCGGCATGGACCCTGTTGCCAGGCGCCTATTATGGGATGCAGTCGCTCGGACACGGGAGTGTGGGAAGTCCATCATTATCACATCTCACAGGTTGGCTCCGTTTCTTTGTCTTCCATCATCCTGGGGCAAAACAATTGGATTTCTGTCAATCTCTAAGGAAATGTTTTTCAACCTTGGCTGCTTGAAGATCTGTGGACTTCATCTCCCAGAATTCTCCAGCAATTCTCAGAGTAAGGGCAGAGGGTCCTTAGTTTTTTTAAAAAATATTTTAATATCCTGCACTGGACGTGTTTCAGTTGCATGCCATGTTTTCAGGGTAGCAGGACGCTCAGATTTGGCAATGCAGTCGAAATAGGCTGGAATGCATAATACATAATCATGATAGACATCTATGTATATAAAAGCACACGCATACATCCGAACGTGCCCACACAAACACACACATGCAGAGACACTTGCACTATTGACCATTATAACCACATGATAGATTTTTTTTTAAAAAAAAGTAGTTCTGTTTTTACTTACTTTTTTTAAGTGCCAGTTATGAGTTGGTATACATCTGTGTTTTGCTCTTTTTCTTTTCTTTTTCTGTTGCTAATTTAAAAGCAATAAAAATATTTTTCAAAAAAAGGGATGCTTGTGGACCAAGCCGTAAGGTAGGGATACTTCTTTACCACTCAAATCCAGCTCTTTTTCTTCTGCTGGGTCTCAGATTTCCTACGCCTACAAGTCTTTATGTATTTACTTATTAAATTCATATGCCATCCATCCCATAATTGAGCGACTCTGGGCCGTTTACTAGCTGTAATAATAGTAATAATAATAATAATAATAATAATAATAATAATAATAATAATAATAATAATAATAATAATAATAATAATAATAATAATAATAATAATAAAGTTGGAAGGGACCTTAGAGGTCATCAAGTCCAACTCCCTGCTCAGGCAGGAAACCCTATACCATTTCGGACAAATGGCTGTCCAGTCTCTTCTTAAAAACTTCCAGTGTTGGAGCATTCACCGCTTCTGGAGGCAGGTTGTTCCACTGGTTAATTGTTCTCACTGTCAGGAAGTTTCTCCTTAGTTCTAGGTTGCTTCTCTCCTTGGTTAGTTTCCATCCATTGCTTCTTGTCCTGCCTTCAGGCGCTTTGGAGAATAGCTTGACTC